CAATCAGCTAGTAACCAAAGATTGTAACAATTAAGTCATTATCATTTTCTATTACGTCTATTAGCTATTCGCGCTAAGCTCACTGGTAATTAGGAAAGTATTGGTATATAAAAAGTGAAAATTCAGATAGATACAATACTTTCAAAGTTGTTCAGTAAGCCATCGAACGTATCGTGTACAGGTGTTTGGATAGGACACATCGATCCGCATTATTTCTTTGATGAAACTCCCAAGTTCCGAGCAGAGAATATGATTTGTAATAAACGTGAATGTAATGTAATTCTCGATAAAAGTTAGCACCGATATAAACTTATTTCTTATGAATATGCTTGAGACAATGTTTCGACAACCGTATAAATCTGATCGAAATGTGGACGTTTTTCTGGTTCGTATTCCCAGCATCGTAACATTAAACGATATATTTCATCGGGCGTGTTTTCCGGAGCTGGCATACGGTAACCTAGAACGACACGAACAAACAAGTAACTTGTACAACTTCGAATGACAATGCTGAAAATAAAGTATGCGTGAATGTATATATATATATATATATATACGTTATGTACCGGTGTCTATTTTTTCACGGGCCTGAGCGTTAGACATTCCGCTGTATGGATTTCCACCCTTGGAAAATATTTCCCACATTAAGACACCGTAACTCCAAACATCGCACAACGATGTGTATTTGCCTGTATTAAACATTGCAATTACATTACTTTAGAATAACATTCTGAAATGTGAAAATGTTTACGCTGTTTCTATCGTAGAAGGTATTGTAAAATACCGAAATTTAATGCCTCCGGCGCGGTCCATTTGATTGGAATTTGTTTCATACCATCGGAAACTATATATTCTTCTTCTTCGCGTGACATTCCAAAATCTGATATTTTCACTATAGACTCGTATCCTAAAATCCGACATTGTACGTATTTATTTTCGGTCATCTTCAAGAAGAATTACTAAGCCTTTCATAATTAATAAACATTATTTATTTACCTACGAGACAATTTCGAGCCGCCAAGTCTCTGTGAATACAATACTTGGATTCCAAATAACGCATACCTGCCGCTGCGTCTTTACACATACGAAATTGTTCTTTTTGCGTGATACTACTGGCACTTTTTCTTAAATATGTTAGCAAGGAACCACCTATTATAGAATGCATTTAATACGATATTAGCGATCGGATCGAAAGACAAGAGTGTTCACGTATGACAAGATAATGACAAGATAGTTCACGTACCGGGTACCAATTCCATAACGATCATAATAGGTTGCTTCTGAACACAGATTCCGATAAGTTTTACTACATTCGGATGATCGTATTGCTTTAATATTCGTCCTTCCTGCAAGAATTTACGTTTTTGTTCATCCGGCAACGTAACTTTGCAAGTTTTTACAGCTACTTCAGTCTTACAAGTCTTAAGTTGCGCTTTATATACATCCCCAAAGTTACCCTAAAAGTGCATAAATCTGAATTAGATATTATGCAAATGTCACGTCTATAAAACTGAATATCCGTTTCTTAAAATTTCGATATACCCGTCCAATTTTTTCTAGAAGAATTACATCGTCGTTATTAAGTTCCCAACGTTCACGTAAGATCGGCGTTTTCAGAATTGCTCCGGATCGGCTAGTTACGGGTAATCCGGATAGCCATTGATGGCTGATCAACTCCTGTATAGATGGAAACGTGGGACCTTCGAATCTATAGTGTCCCTAAAATTCATACGGATGTGTGTAAGTGTTTATTGCGCGTCACTTTAAAACTTTACCATCGTACGTAACGGTATACTATATTTACCTCGGTCGTTGTCTGAACGATAAAATGTTTGTGTCCATCCCAACAAACAGATAAAACTATTTGGCACTCGTCGTTCCTTGTCGTTTCACGTACTAAAAAGTCTCCTTCGTTCACAAGTAATCTTACTACTTCTTCCCTTGGCAAAACGCCATGGAACCACTCCTCTTCTATGAGATCGCCATTTCCACTTCCTTTTTGATTGGTCGTTAAATGCGAAATTCCGCGTAGCGGTGCCTACAATAAGTTTTTCTCAATTTTACCAACACGATAAGATTACAATCGATCATGGCGTCCAAATAACACACAAGTCGATATTATTGTAAACGTGTTTATTTAAATATATCATCACACTTTTTGCCGGCTCAAAAACATTAAAACTCAGTCAATTCATATGAAATTGAACATGCTTAATATTAACGATACTTCAATGTTGGCCCTATCATTATTAACGTTACGATTGCTAATTGTTAATGATGCTGACGACGAAAAGACAAAAAGGCAAAAAGGCGAAAAGGCAAAAAAGAAAAGTCTGGAAATTATTCTCCATGTTTTCTTTTGAAAATAATATTAAGTTTGGTAAGTGTCGTTATAAATTATAAAGAATGCAAAAGAAGCGGTACTGTGTGTTCAAGCGGATATGCAGCAAACCATAATATATCTACGCGCGTAACAAACGGACAACGTATGCGGAAAAGACATACAACTAAAGTATTATTCGTTTTCGAAGCAGGACTTTCGCTACTCGATCTAATCGTTCCATCTATCGTGTTGTTTATCATCGGTAAAGATTTGAAAGGACATCTAAATATTGTCGTAAATCGTTGATTCCTTCGTAATGTAAATAAACCGATATCTGGCATTGCAGTTTTCTGGAAGAACAGTGATATACCAGCTGATAAAGAGTTTCTCACGCGAGGTAAACGATCGAAAATGCATGAAACTTGTCTATATTATATTTGGAACACACACATTCGGATATATATATATATATATATATGTATCCAGTAATATGAAAATAATATTAACGTAACGATATACGAATTACCTTAGTGATAACAGGTGAATCGACGAAAGTACTTTCCATGGAGAGATCGTATCCCAATGGTAATTCTTCGCAACCTAACTCATTCAAAGCGGATCTAATAACGTCCACTTGCCGCTGAAGCTTCTTCTCTTGGCAACGTAATCGTAGTTCTTCTCTCTCGCGGGTATAGTCCAAAATTGATGCCCTAATGATCGATTGCATGTAATAAACGTGCACGTTTAATCTCAAAGTATAGAGAGGTAGAATCGAAATACTCGATATTTCGAAATAAAGTCCTTACTTCGAATCACTGTTATTCTCCGATGGATGCTGAGGATTTTGACGATTCTGTTGAGTCGCTTTCAAAGAAGCTTCCAATTCTGTTAGTCGATTTCTTAACCAGTCTATTGTCAAGTTATCGACCGTCAATTTATTCGGCAACAGTTTTCCTGAAGTATCATCTACAAGGTTCTCGTCGAATGTGAATCTTATCGGCGATGCTGATCGCGCTCTATATAGATTATTACTAAATATATAATTGTTTTATAGCAATTGCACAGTGACAAAAACAAATTCTCTGCAAGTACCTATGCTCTGCCATAAAGTCCCTACATTCTTCTGCCGGTTTTACAGAATCGACAGCTTTTTGCATTCGCAAGTGAGTTTCTTGAAACTTTTCCGTCGTGAAATCAGAATATCTCACTACGTCCTGAAGTATGGATTTCCTACCACGAAAGAACGAGGTTATTTATTTGACTGCGATCGGTGTCATCGTCGAAACCACCATTGACATTTACCTTGTATGTAACTATGCGCTTGCATATAGATTTTACACAAATTAGATTAGCGATCTACGATGCAAAAGTAGGAAGTACATCATAAATTATTCCAGGCACGATAATAGATTTACTTACCAAGATGTTACGAGTTCTTGATGAATTGCCTGTTGCCGATGAAGTAGACTCGGTAAGTACGAAGTTCTTAAATCATGCTCACATTCTGTTACAGCACCCAAAAGTAACACGTACTCGTTGTGGGTAAGATGAAGTTTTCTACAGGCTTTCTGATATTTCTCTCTTACTTCGTCCAACTTCCTGCCAACTCTGCCTGCTAAAAATGTCATAAAACATAGCTAACAGTCGCAAACGAGCGAGAAAGACGCTTACATTTAACATAATATTCTTCAAAGCGGGATCTCATTAACTTGTACATTTCCAGATTCTTCTGATATTCCAATTTCTTTCTGGCAACGTCTTCGGTTAACTAAACAATATGACAAGAATACTATTCAAGTAATACCACGTACAATGTTTGCGCCACGTCGATTCGCATTCGATAGCGTACCTGTTGAAACTGGTTATTTAACCATGTTTGTTCTTCCTGATATAATTTCCTAGCTTTCCTTCTTTCCGAGCACAACGTCGTAATGTGTTCTACCGCCACAGACTCGACCTGATCCGCTTGTTGTTTGATTAACTTGGCCGTTTGATCGACAGAGTCCATAATATCTCTCCAACTCTGGTACGTAACACATACAAAACAAAAGAGATATTCTTCGGATACGATTGCGTAATCCTAAAACATATTGAGATAGGTGAAAATTTGATAAAAATACCTGTGCTATGAGACTACCGATGAGATCTTCGTTGCGCTCAATCTTCTTTCCTTGGACCGCCAGGGAAGAAATTGTCGAAGCATATTCGCGGTCTGATTTTATTTTCATCGTTAAACATCGTTTCATCGTTTCCAAAAGCTTAATCTCAGCATCCTGACGACCGAGCAAAGCCTCGTGGAACGCTTGTCCTTGCAGACTTGTAGAAAACCCCATCCCGCTTATCGTTCGGAATAGAGAATATCACCGCCTTATTGACTTCTTTGAATATGTCATGAACAGAAATTCATTCTTGTGTTCGACGGATACGCTGACATTGATAGTCAATCGGTCCAATGAATGTTAACGAACTGCTCGGTGAAACACCACATTTCAAGCAATACTTTACGTACCGATTATTCGTTTCGTCTCTCGCGCATCTTCATATTCGCTCAGGTGGCTGAGATCAACATTTATATTTATACAGACCTCAAATTGTAAAAATCAATTTTTACTCACGAAATACCATCATGAAGTAATTATCGATAGAGAAGGTTGATTCTATGGTGTAAATACTTCTATTAATTGTTCTTTGTATTTCTTTGAAAACGCCAACAATCTTCAATAATTTATCATTTTCATTCATCGTAAGATAATCATTTCAATCGTCTATAATGCGGAATTTATTGAAAATCTACAACCAAGTATCTCATACTCTGTTTTATAAACAATCTCTGATCGAATTACAAGCTAACTTACAGGCACTTGTGAATAGAACTTGCGAATATGGTATACGTGTATAAGACCGTAAGTATCCGTGTTATATTATATTCGTGAATAATTATCAACTAATTGTATTGCGAGTAATAATGTTGCTCAGACTACCTTCTTCCGATGTCGCATTAAACATAAAGAAGAAATAAAACCAGCATTCGTTCGCGTTACGGCGATCGAGTAACGTGTGAAAACGACATAATGTTTCGACCGTATCGCATCGAGTCGTGACACAGATTCTATGTATAAACTTTAAGGTATTTCGTTTTACGTTTGCCATTCGTTTTGCGTAGTAGAAGTGTTGCAGCAAGCGAACCTGAAGTCACTACGCACCGAGGAACGTTGTTCTAGTGCTTGAATTCGTCAAAATGGCTAGAATGGACGGTCTGACCGCAGCCAGTATTAAAAAAAATCCGTCGGTAAGAAAATCGAACGATCGAAATGATCGTATTACGTATTACGATAGTAACATTATAATAACGTAACGGTATCTTCTGTCTTTTATCAGCTAATTCCATTGTTCTTTGCCGTCGGAATGGGAGCACTCGGTGCAACACTTTATTTAATGCGTCTTGCCTTTACTAATCCCGATGTTGCGTGGTTCCCGAAACACAATGCCGAACCGTGGAACGATTACAAACAGAAGCAGTACAAGGTACGTTGCGCATACGTTACAGCGAATCAAATAAATGTACAATTAAAAACACAGATGTTCTTTCTAATCGATTGATTCTGTACTTTTATTTTCAGTTTATGTCTTATCATTATAACAAAGACACAAAATCTCCAGCCCCCGAGTACTAAATTATATACTTTATAGTCTCTAGTATTACTTTTAGCCAGTTAAGTCGAATAGAATTGCTTCGATGTTCTGTACAGATTATATTTATATTTTGCGAGCATACACGATTGTTATGTATAAAGTTTGATTGAGACATGGATGATAAATAAAACTTTTAACCTGTAAAGATCGCTTTTCTTTCAAAGTTCATTGTACAAAAATAGAAGAACCGCGAGAAGTAGCATATAGGTAGAACAATTGTACTGTGACAATTTTGCGTATAAATATTTTTCTTCGAGTATTAAGTTCGCATGGAACATACGAAGTCGAAGTTACAAAACTCGTATAAAATACTAAAAATATCGGCTACGATAGCGTAACGAATCATTCTTATCGATTGTGAGGATTAAACTTTTGACATTGCCACAAGAGGGCGATTATGTTACTCGTGTCGTGTAACTCTGACCATGCACCGCGATGATTTCTGGAATCTTAAGGTCGAGAAAAATACATGAAACTCACATGATTCGTTCAAGTTAATCTAATGAAATATCATTCATTGGAAGACGGTAACTATTCGTTCAATTAAGATTGTTTTGTTTTCGAAATTCCGTATACCGAATATTACACTTACATTTCTAGGAAACATCTGACTATCGGGTTTTTTACTACCGCTTCATTTCAGTGCCGTTGCATTTTTATCAACATTAAATATGGATTCGTCGTGGGAAGATTTTTATGTAAAACACGCACCACCTCAGGATCTTGCTCAGAATGAAACATTATTAAAAAAATTTATAGAACACCAGTTACGAGAAGATGAGAAAGTTGTTTTAGTAACAGTGAGTTTTCATATTGCGGGACGTAACACGCGGCATTACGCGATGATGTAACGTTACACGTTTGAAACTTACAGAGCGGTGGTACGACAATACCTTTAGAACATAATACAGTAAGATTTGTAGACAACTTTAGCGCAGGAACAAGAGGATCCGTATCAGCAGAATATTTTTTAGAAAAGGGTTACGCTGTTATTTTTATGTACAGGTGATGACCACTTTGCAATAGCCGCTAATAAGAGTTAGTTTCTTGCTAAGAATTATCATGGAATCCTTATTCTATTAATCGTACTCGTTCATAGGGTTAAATCTCTCGAACCTTTTTCAAGACATTTTATAGGACAAAAGTTTCTAGACATGCTGGAAGTCGATCAACACGACGGGAAACCTAACATTACGGGTATAAATTTTGTATAACTTACAGTTAGATTCAATTTGAACAATTCAAATGCTTCCATTTTCATCTATATCGAATTGTTATTCTTTCTATGTTTGTTCTTAGTACTACCGCAATATACAGAGAAGTTAGTGACAATATTACAGAAATATAAAGAGGCATTGAACCAGGACAAGTTGTTGTACCTCACGTTTACAACTCTGTCAGAGTACTTATGGTTATTGAGATCCGCTTGCCAAGCTCTAGCTTGTCTCAAGAATAAAGCTATTTTGTACCTTGCGGCTGCAGTTTCAGATTTTTACATTCCATCTAACGAATTGGTACATTTATCCAATGCCAAAATATTGCGAACGAATTCGTATGTTTTCATAAAGCTTTTAATTTTTCATCGCGCTGAACGATGATTTAAAACTTTTCAGTCGGTTCACAAGATTTCTTCGAGCGGACCACCGACGATATCTCTTCAACTGGTACCGAAAATATTAGCTCCTTTGGTGAGCCTTTGGGTTCCAGAAGCGTTTGTGGTTTCCTTTAAATTGGAAACTGATGAAAACCTCTTAATTGTTAAAGCAAGAGATGCGCTTAACAAGTACAAACATAACGTGAGTGATTGCAAACTTATTCGATAAAAATGAATTCCGATTGGATCGTTACAGTGATTTTTACATAGATATCAAAGAGATTTTTCTTGTAGCTGGTCATTGCTAATATGTTACAAACCCGAAAGCAGGAAGTAACAATTGTTAGCCACGAAAACGATTACGTTGTATCACTTACGAGCGAGCAATTGAATAAAGGTGAGGAAATCGAACGACTCATAGTCGACGACTTAACAGAGAGGCATATACGTTTTATACAATCTGCCAAAAAAACTAGTTGATGGATTTTGGGAATTATTAAATAAACACGTTCACCAATTGTTCTTATTATGTTTTATGCATTGCCATAATGAAATATTTATGAGATCCCTAGAAAATCCGAATTTATCGTTTTACGTGTAATACTATTTATATACATATTACTTAGGATATCGTTTCTTCATCATCATCATCATCATCATCATCATCATCATTATTGTTGTTGTTGTTGTTGTTGTTGTAATTGTTGTAGTTGTTGTAGTTGTTGTAGTTGTTGTTGTTATTGTTGTATCTTTATGTAATTAGATTTAGAAAATCTACTCCAAATGTACTAAGAAAAAAAAGAGAAAAATTCAATTTTTAAGACTCGCTTTGAACATATTAATCTTGTCGATCAGTAATGTATCCGTTGGTTCGCATTGCGCCAATATGAAACTTAACGCTGTATCATCTTTCTGTTCTTTTGCCGTTTGAGCTGCTTCGTCCAACATTCTGTAATATTATATAACCATTGCTTTGTTACATCGCACATCTGTTTTTCTAACCGTAATACTCACTTTAATTTTACCAGATATTTTACTTTCAATTCATCTTTTACTTTGGGTAAATATTTCTTTGCTTCCCTTTCTTTGTCGTATTTTAAACACTGATCGATAAACGGCTGAAATAAGTCGAAATAAATGGCACCGATTTAAAAAGTTCCTTGCTGTCGCGAGTAGCGGCGATTACGCTTAGCGTTTAAAGGAAATACCTCGTAGCCGATGGGGGACTTCTTACTTTTGGATAATTTTTCCAAGTCGTTCCACATACCCTTCTCTGCCAAACACTGTATACGCAACCACCAATATCTGGAGGAAAATTCATTCGTATGTATATCGGCTATATTCGGAAGGATGCGTGCTAGAAATATCGTACGATGCAAGATCACACCTTCGATCCGATATTCGATATTCCGATCTTAATTTATCGGCTAATTTTAATTCGTTCTGCAACAGTAGTAATTTGACGGTATCGTGAAGCGGTTTTCCAACGATTGATTCGTGTCCTGTATCTTCCAGGGACTTTTGATAACGCAACAGTTTTATTTGTTCTTCCGTCAAAGCCGCGTTCGTATCGTTACGGGCCAACTTGAAATTTTCCTGCGCGGACTGTAACAGGGCTTCTCTCGACGTCGTATTCTGTAGGAATATTAGTCATAGCATCAGGGAAAAATATCGCACGTTTAACCAGCTAAGTTTAGTCGTCGGTGAATTCACGACGAACCTTCCGTTGGTAACTCTCGGTAATGAACCATACGGCTTGAGAATGAAAGTCATCGTTTTGATTGTAAATCCCACGTAGAGCCTCTCGATTGTGACCCTGACAATATTTGATGTACAACGCCATTGCCAAAGGGCAGTGCAGTATAGAGGTCTGCGAACAATCGACAGAAATCTTAAATTCAATCTGAACCTGTCAGATCAAAGATGTAATTGTCTTCACCACTGAAATTGCTGGTTTACCTGGAAATCACCGATTGCCATGTTATCTCTGAGATGAAGTATCACCGTATAAACTAAATCGGTGTTGCCGCTTTCAACAGCTTTACGCAGAGCAGCTCTTTTCTCGCCGAGCGTCAATAAAAGTGGTACTTGTAGATGCGCGCGAGGCTCGTAATCGATCAACTAGACATTAACAAGAAAAAAGACAAACGAGAAGAATGTGTATTCCGATTAGACGGCGATCAATGTAAAGAAAGAAGAAGGTTACTTTGATAGCTAATTGTTTTCTACCGCAATCGGCTGCCCTTTTCGCGATTTCGCTGTAGGAAACGCCGGGCGCGTATCCCAATTTGTCAGCTATTTCTTCCGCTACCTCTTTATCCAATTGAGTTTGCTTTACCTGCCACGGAACAGAACATTCTGATTTCTGTTCGTATCGATAGATTACGTTGTTCCGTGATCGAAATCAATAAATTAATTACATTACTTTATAACAGGCCCAATGGGCTAATATGCGACTCTCTCCTTCAACTTCAGGCAGCTGAAGATGTCGTGCTATTTGTATACTCAAATAGTAGTGTCTTCTCGCGACCAGTCTGTCCAGTACTACCTGACCAGTTAAGATGGTAAATCTGAATGGTTGTTAAGTATTTTTCCTCCTCAACTGTAATAAAAAGTTTAAGAGGAAACGACGCGATAAAGGATACTGTATGTACGTTATCGGAATTCCAACTGCAGGGTGTCTTATGGCGTTCAAGACTCTCAGTATTCGGCACATGTCTACATAGTATTCCGGACTAACCGTCTTACTAAATCCCTTCCCAAACTTAGCTGCCTGAAATAATCGACAAGTATTTTCACCTTTGAGTATTTTCTCCCGCGTAGAACAGCCAAAGGGACGAAGAATCGACACATGAGACACACTTACTCTCATCAAAAGTTTCTGCGTATTGAAATCAAACTCGTGACTAGCTCCGTCGATACAAGCTATTATCGCCGTGTCCAATTTATCTTTCACGAGGTCTATGTAACTGTCGGCTTTGTGACTCTTCTTTTGAAACTGTTTCGAAGCTTCCAAAAGATAGGATGCAGGATCGGTCGAATTAATCCGAAATATTTTCTGGACAACGTTTGGTACTTTTTGTATCATTTCGTGGGAGGTAGCGGATAATACGCGTACGCCATCGATCTCCGTAACAAGATGCACTGGACCGTCGTAAGTGTATATTATCGTTTCGGCTGTTCGCCCTACGATCATCACGGTACTGTTCCAACTGCAGACTACAGCTTTCGTACCGCACCTACGATTATTTATGTAGAAATGTGATTCGTGTACGTTACGCGGCGTTCCATGAGATAAGGTAAGCGTACGAACCACGCCAGGCTTGTTAACGCTTCTTTGATATTTGCGTTGTGTTCGCAGTATTTCTCTTTAAAATCTATGGAGCCCATGTACAAATGACCTGTGTCCGAGTAAAGGGCAACATGTCGGTTATTCCCCGAGACGGCTATCGCCACTACGTTCGAGACTTTCGTATGCCTTGTAAAAAGTATATCCTGAAAAATATATAGATCCGTTAGACACGGACCGTGTTCGCATCCTCCGTAACCTTCTAATATCTCTTAATTCCGATATCATACAAAGGGTATGTACGTTGCATTCTGATGCGTCTGTTGCACTACGAATAATCCTTCGCTGTTGGATAAAATAACCCGAGTTTCTCTATCGTAGTGTACCAAGCACCAGCAATCTATGGGACCTCCGCATCCTACAATGGAAGACGATCATAGATGTCGGTTCTACCGACAAGCGTATTAGCGGTATTAGCTGATATTAGATAAAAATCTCACTGGGAACTCCCGATATTTGTCTAAGTTTTGGTTCAGCCGTGTTGTTTACCAAGAATATTTGATTGGTAGATGTCAGAACTGCAACACCCGTTCCGCTGTGAGTTACAAAAAATTTTGCTTCCACAACTTTAGTATCCTTTGCTTCCTAATAAAAGAACGCGCAAACATCAGTTGGTGGGTTTCGAAAGAAATTCGATGTATCGTAAGATCGACACGAAAGAGTAACATACACTTCCCATAGTAAACGCGTGTTGATACGTGCCAAACATATCGTATATATGAACCGTACCGTCTTCTTGCACGCACAATAATTCTTCTTGCTGAGACCAACCTAGTCCGATCAACTGTCCGCCGCTCCACTGTAAAAATACGAATAGTATAGTCCTGGGAACATTGAAAGTTTTACCAGAGGCCGTAGAAGAAAAGATTTACTTGTAATTTGGCTGTTAGCTTTCCAGCGGATGTATACAAGTAGATTATAGGTTTATTAGATCCTTGAACCTTAACGAGCTTCTTGGGGTTTCTGGTGATCGCGATAAAACCACCATAGGGAGCTGCCACTAATAGATTAGTATTCGAAACCTCGTGTTGAAACGATAACGGATAAAGTTCGAATTTTCTGGAAAATAAACGTTTGTCTGTTTATATGTTTCCTTTTTTTTCTACATCGCTTCCACCGCAGTAACCTTAAACTCGTATTACCTAAAATACACATCTCGTCCCAAGGGAAACCAATCGGCAGTCAACATCGCCAACATGCTTGAAGAAAAAGAAAAGAAAGTTTCAACGATATCGATGCACCATGTATACGATCATAGTTGTAACGTAAATTTCCTAAATCGTATCGTTCTATCCGTCTATCAACTCTGTTGTACTATGGACACAAGTATGCGAAGACTGACGTTTCTGCTTGATCTGCGCATGATCTATGTACTCGATAATTCTGCAACAAGTATTACCATATTATTACTAAGAGTCGGTAATTATGATTCGAACGAAGGAAAAGGAACGAAAACGAATTTTAGAAATAATAATGTTCATTTACATATTCGTATTGTTGATTGTTCGAGAAGACGAACTTGAATGTTCCATATAGAAAGAGTTACGGGCATCCGTACAAGTTACCGTGGGAGTAGGGGGAAGGTTATAAGTTGAGGTTACGTAGCGAAAATTCTCCAGACTCTCCGAGACCACCGCGGATCGCGGATTTCTACGACGCATTTAAAATTAGAATGTTCGCGCGGCGACGATTCGGAGAAGCTGATTTTCTCTTTCTAAGAATTCGAACAAGTTCAATTATTACGAATGCTGTTCCACTTTACATTCCAGGCACTCGTATCGAGGATGAACGAAACGAGACGAATTTCGCTATTAGTTATATTAGGCTGAAAAGATGGTCAAATCGAAAATCCACGAGGAACGAAGAATCAGAGAAGAGGAAAGGATAAACGAAAGTGGTAGGCCGACGAATGTCAAGATGGTGCAACACACGGCTGTGAAAGGCCATCGATGGAATGTTATTTCGAAAGACCGAATGTCACGTACTCGTTCTCTTTTCCGAGCAAAGAAAATGGCTCGTTGTCGTTTCGAGAATTTCCATCGAACGTGAAACGATGCGCCGCGCGTATGCGGTACGATACTAGGCGTATCGATAAGATAGAAACTCGAGTAATCCTGGAAACGATCGATACTACGCGTCGACGATTGTATCGAATCGTCGGTAGGAAAACTAGGAAACCGTTGAATCGGACGACGAGGATGGCGGGAGTGAAAGGTTTTTCAAGGAACATTCCTACATCCGTCCGATCCCATCCGAGCTCGCCTCCTTTTCCCAGAATTGCGTGTACCAAACGCGTAGATGGTCAACACACCGACGCACACGCGCAAGTATGAATGAATATATAGAAATAAATAGATTCACGTATACATTCCGGTGCGCGGCGTTTCCCCTACCCGTCTGTACGAACTCTCCGTTATACTCGAGACCGAGTCTCCGAGTCCGAGTTCGCAAATCCATGGAGAAGGGCACGATACGCGTTAGTTTCGCGTGGTCCCCACCTTCTTTCGCGTCCATTACGATATTCCATTGCTCGCCGTAACGGCTGCTCGCGCGAACTCTCTCAGTCTCCGAATGTCGAAGCGCGCGCGCGCGCGCGTTCCATTCGTATCCCTGCATCGTCGGATTTTCTCTGCGACAGGTTCAACTTGAATATCAATCGCAGGAGACGATACTCGAGAGGAGTGTCGCGCCGCTTCGTTGTGCCCGCTTTTACGATTACACGGAACGGAACGGAACGGAACGGAACGGAACAGAACGGAACGGAACGGATCGAATCGTCCTCGAAGAGACTACCGCTACGCGACGACACGGAGATCGAGGGAATATCGAGGCTCGCGAAAAACGGAAGAAGGCCACGGAGAACGCGCGGAGGAAAGAGGAAGAAGGAACGAGGAAGGAGAACGGAGAAAAGAGAAAGGAGCTACTCTCCGAGAGTATAGTCCAGAGGTAGAGAATATATCTGGAAAAGGATGAAGAGAATTTCCGAAGAGGAGATCGGTGCGTGATCGTCGAGTAATCTGGATTCGGAACGAACGGTAATGCGGATCAAGGGTGACGGTCGATAGGAACAGTGCGGGTGCGATCCAACAACAATTGTCACGCGGAGCAATCAATATGATCAGAGCGTAAGTTACCGATCACGAGAACAGATATATACATCTATGTATGCGCGTACACGTAGAGGAGTAATCGGGGATCGTTGAACCGCGTCGGGAAGCCGAGTTTACTTTCGGTCCGTTTTGGGTGTGGATCGACCGTCCGGATCCGGGTTGGAGCGATTCGAACGAACCGATAGCGTATGGGAACGAGGAATTTTCGAGTTTCAAAGGGAAACGCAAAACCGAGTACCGAACGCGAAACGCGCGACCACGGAGAGGAAAATAATCGCGGGAACGATTCGCGCGTCTTCGAGAAATCCCGTTCGGTCCGAGTGAAAGAAAGGAACGCGGTCGTTTAAGTATTTGCGTGAAACAGGTTTCACCGCGCGTATCCGTTCGCGCATCGGACGAAACCACCGTTACATGGAATAGCAGAGAGATAGTCGTGTTTCAGGATTCGAGCCAACAGAATACTATATACGTATACGTATACACAGTGGAGGTAATCGCGGCGCAAAGTTTAGGTTCGTTGTCGTCGTTTTCAGATTGTACCTGTTCGCGTGCTCGATTCTCTTGTGTCGGAGCATCGGTGCGCCGTCGAGCCAGCATACCGAATGGGTACCATGCGTCGAGCTCAAACGGGATCTTCAGATTCCTTGCGAGTGCTCGATTTCCACGGAATCGGGCGTCCCTCGCTCGATAGACTTGAATTGCGATGGAGCGGTCTTTACGCGGGACACGATCGAAAACCTGCGGGGCCAACCGATCGTCTCGATCAGCCAGCGAAAGAGCGGATATCAAACGCTGCCGGACGAGTTGCTCGATTCGGGACTGCAGCTGAGGAAGTTGGATTTATCCGGCAACTCGATTCGCAAGCTGATGAGTCGTTCGCTCGAAGCGCAACCTCGTCTGGAGGAACTCGGGCTGGCCGACAATCTGCTGGGCGACAGCTTGAATCCGATATTCTCGAGCAACGAATTTCACGGCATGAAGCGGCTCAAGTTGCTCGATCTGGCCGGAAACGGGCTGAGAAGCATCGAGGAGGGGATGTTCAAGGGATGCGAGAGTCTCGAGCAGCTCTACCTGGACAGAAACGAGATGACGACGGTGCCGACGGCGTCCCTGAAGGGACCGAATTCCATCAGGGTGGTGTCGTTGGCCGGGAACAACATCGGTGCGTACTCTGTATACCGTATAAACGCTAAAGCGCGCGATCGATCGACCGTCAACCGTCTCCTCCGTAGGATCGCTTCCGCGGGGCGCGTTCTCCTCGATCGGAGCATCGTTGCTGCGCTTGGACCTGAGCGACAACGAGCTGTCGCACATGGAGGACGGCGCTCTATTCGGACTGGAACGGTTGCTCCTCCTCAATCTGTCCCGTAACGATCTCGGCCGCTTCAACAGCGACGCGTTTCAGGGTATGCGGCAACAGAGTTTGCTCGCACGATTCCAGAGGAATTCTCTTAGCCCGCTGTTTTCCCTTCAATTTCAGGGGCGTACAATCTATTGCAGCTGGATCTTTCGGTAAACTTTCTACAAGAATTTCCCAACGAAGCCATGCGACTGTTGACGGACCTCAGGTTTCTCAATATTTCGAACAATTTGATCACCGTAAGCGGCCACAATAGAGGAGAATATTTGAAAATTTGCCGGATCGGTAGCCTCTCTCGACGCTCCGTCTCTCTCGTTTCTTCTTTCTTCTTTCCGCTTTCTTTTCTGTCTATACAGAGCGTGGACGGGGCGCAGTTGTCGGGGTTAAGGAAGCTGCAGGTCTTGGATCTCAGTCGCAACAACATCGGTCGGCTCGGGGTGAACGCGTTCTCCAGTCTGACCAGTCTGACCCGACTCGACTTGAGTTTAAACGCTTTGCGCACGGTACGCATACGCGAATAGACTTCTTCTTCTTCTTCTTCTTCTTCTTCTCCTTCTTCTTTCTAACGGGAGATTTTCTTGGACTTTACAGATCGAGGAGTCGTCGTTCGAGGGCCTGACGAAATTGAAATGGCTGTCTTTGCAAGACAACAATATCCTGTTGGTCCCGGCTACGGCTCTGAGCAGATTACCGTCTCTGACTCATCTGCACGTGGAATTCAATCGCATCGCCGCCCTGTCGACCGAACTGATCAAAGCGACGGCCGCCGGTCTGGCGACGCTCGCGTTGACTCGAAACTTGGTGCGAGAGATACCGGCCGAATCGTTCCGCGAATTCGACAACTTGATCGACCTACAACTGTCGGGGAATCTCCTCTCGACCATCTCCTCGGACACGTTCGCCGGACTGGAGGATACGTTGGCGAGACTGGACGTTTCGCGCAACAGATTGACGTCCATCGGCGAGCTTCGACTGAAGAATCTGCTCTCGTTGAACCTGGCGGGGAACAGGTTGACGCGAGTTCCCCCGGAAACCTTCAAACGGTTGCACAGGCTGGAATACTTGAACTTAAGCTCGAATCCTCTCTACGGGGGCTTCCCGCCGGTCTTCCCCGCGAGCGTTTCCACTCTGGACGTCTCGAGGACCGACTTGAAGATCTTGCCGACGATTTTATTGTCGAATCTCGAGTCCCTCGAGGGGATCCGGTTGGCCGGGAACGATCTGGAGAGAATCGAGGGGGGCACGTTCCGGCAGCATCGGAACCTGTCGCGCATCGACCTGTCGGGCAATCGCATAGAGCGCATAGAGAACGAAGCTTTCGCCGGGCTGACCAGCCTGTACGAGCTGAATCTGCGCGGGAACAGGTTGAAACGATTCGCCGGAGAATACTTCGACACCGGCACCGGTCTGGTGGTTCTCGACCTGTCCGACAATCGGATCGACCTCTTGTCCCCGACGGCGTTCGCGATACACCCGAGACTGAAGCGGCTCGATCTGTCCGGGAATCGACTGGCTCTGTTCTCCGGCGAGTACGCGAGGCCGCTGCAGTTCTTGGAACGGCTCGACCTGTCCGGCAACGCGTTCAGGCGCGTCACCGAGTTCGCCTTCTCTCGAATACCGCGACTCCGGGCGCTGAGTCTCGCCGGGAACGAGATCGAGTCGGTCGACGAGCTGGCTTTCCACAATTCCACGCAGCTCCAATTGCTCGATCTGTCCGGCAACAAGATCGAGACGCTCGGCGAGAGGTCGCTGGAAGGGTTGCTCCGGCTCGAGCACCTCGATCTCGGGGAGAATCGGCTGACCTCCCTGCCGGAGACGATCTTCGATTCGAGCCGAGTTCGAGCGGTGGAGAGCGTCGATCTGTCCGGCAATCGACTGGACAAGATTCCGGCCGGCTCTCTGCAGAGGCAGTCGGCGTTCCTGTCGCGGCTGAACGTGGCGCGGAATCGCATGGTCGAGGTGTCCGGTCGGGACATCGCGAGCAACGTCAAGGAGCTCGACCTCTCGGGCAATCCGCTGAGCGAGCACGCGATCAAGGGGATCCTGGGCGACGCGAAGATCCTCCGTAGCCTGAATCTCGCCGACACCGGCATCGAGACGCTCGGCAGACTCGAGACGCCGTTCCTCAGGCGGCTGAACCTCTCCGGGAACCGGATAGCCGCGCTGCAAGCCGCCGCCCTCGAGCGCACCACCATGCTGGAAACTTTGGACCTGTCGCGGAACAGGTTGACGGACTTTACGGAGGCGACGTTCCGCGCGTTCCGCGCGTTGCCGACCCTCCGGCGACTCGACGTGTCCGGGAACGGCGCGAACCTGCTCAACGAGACGAGCTTCGACGGTCTGACCGCGCTGCGGTTCCTCGACATCTCCGACTTGCCGAACTGCACGAGAATCGAGAGGAACGCGTTCAAGCCGTTGCTCAAGCTTCGCTCCCTGTCCGCCCACGGCTACCCGAAGCTGGGCTACTTCGACGTGCAGGGCATCTTGAAGGGGATGCGCAATCTCGAGTCGCTGGACGTCGAGATCAAGGATTCGTCGGTGGGCAACGAACAGCTCGCGATCACCGCGCACCCTCGACTGCGAGAGCTCACTCTGCGCGGCGAGAGGCTGCGGAACGTGCTGTCCAGCTCGTTGGTCGGCGTCCGCGTGCCCAGGCTGACCGTCGCTCTCAGGAACACCTCGGTCGACTCGATCCCGGCCGCCCTCTTCTTCCCGGTGCCTCGTTCCACCGAGCTGCAGCTCGACGTCTCCGGCAGCAAGTTCGCCACGCTATCGAAGCACGTGCTCGCCGCGCTCGACGAACGGATCGGCACCGTCGATCTGAAAGGTCTCGAGAGCAATCCGATAAATTGCAGCTGCGACGCCAGGCAACTATGGAAATGGTTGAAAGCGCTGCAGCTCGAGCGCGGAGTCGAGAGCGGCGTTCGTTGCGCCTCGCCCCCTCGTTTAGCCGGCTCGACGCTCACCGCCCTCGAAGAGCACCGTCTCTCGTGCCGATCGTCGTCCGACCATGCCCGCGTCAACGTCTCCTACTCGGACACCGCCTCGGACCACGATCGCGACGATCGCGATCCCGAGCTCGACATCGACGACGGCGGCGACGACACCGACGACGACACCGACGACGACACCGACGACGACACCGAACGCGCGAATCGTCGGACCAGCCCGCTCGTCGACACCACTCTCGCTTCGTCGGCTTTCCCGTCG